AATAAAAAGTAAGTTTATTTGATATTAGAAGTGCACAATGCACCATTCTTTAGTTGTGAACCACCTGTTATATTTCTGAGATAACTGGCCAGCCATGTCAGACAGAAATGCTTTAATTGTTCATACAGAACCAGACTCAGATGGCTTTAAGGTCAAAGATCTGACTTCACAGCTGGATCTTTCCCATACATGTACTAGCACCAGTCTGGTACTGGTTAATTTAATTAAGCTTGAATACCCTCAGCTCCAATTAACTGTTAGTTTCCTTGATATTTTCTATAACCATTTACATAATTATAACACTTCTCATGCAATTAATCTGAGTGTGTACACTGTATAGTCAATAATGATTGATTTTTATTACAGCAAGGAAGCTGAAAGACAGTTGTGATATTAAAAAGGAAAATTCTTACTTGTATTCTATCATTTGTTCCATCCGTCAAATACGACAAACCCCAACATGTGTCAGAGAGAATCTAGAATAAATTAATAACAGACAAACTGAGCTTGCTTGTTAAGTAATAAAATTAACATCTGTCTCACAGGCTTAACTTAGTCATTCTCGTCTAGAATTTATACACATCCCACTCATTAATCACATGTGTATAGCTGTGCTGGATTTAGATTCCAAATACTCAAATTTGAAACTTAGCTCTTAATCCTAAGGTACAGTATGGTGAGCACAATCCTTTTGAGTAAACTATCATACCTCTTTATCCGTATGAGTGATCAGATGAGCCAGAGCAGGAAGGATCTGAAATGATTATTAAGCATAAAGAAAAAAAAAAACTTACGCTCTTAGTTGGTTAGACAAGGAAAGCTCAGTACTCCCACATAGTACAAAACTGAGAAGACTGTTATAAAAGCAAAAAAAGTTGTGTTTAAAATGTGAAATCCATGAAAGCTGCTGTCAATCATAAAAATGGTGATGTATAGCTCACAGTTATTACAACTGTCACAGGCCAGAGAAGTTGGAAGAGGAGAAAATCACACACCAGCATGCAAAGGAAACCAATTTTTGGGCTCACCAGCTTTGGGCAAGCTGTAACTATGATGTACTAAACCAAAAGTCATTCTCACAAGCCACCAAAAAATTCATCTTTTACTAACAGTAGTTCCATGATTTGAATTTCCTGGTAAACAATTTCCCCAAGAAATGTCACTCTATCACCAACCCATCAATAGGCCCTTTGCTCCTAAGCCATCACGTGAAATTATGGGCTAGCTATAACTTAATGAATGCCAGAAATGGAAAAAGCATGTCAAAAATATCAAAATGGCCAAGTTTAGTCATAGTCACAGTTGTCGTCGTAGTAGTAGACTTTATTGGTGAGGGTAACATTTAACATTTGCAAGGTCTTGCTCTCCAGCAACACTTTCCATACAAATCCATGCAAATTTTCCGAAAACTCAAATGGTCATATAAACTTACTCTTTAATGCCAGGAACCTCAAACTTGGCCATTTTGGTATTTTCGATGCGCTCTTTCCATTTCTGACATTCTTCAAGTTATAGCCCATAATATACCAGCTGCAAAGGGCCTATTGCCTAAAGTGAAGGACAGATTCCACTAGCTCGATAGCAAAATCCACAAGCTCTGGTACTATCAAACACCACTTCCTTGCACACTGCACACGGCATTATAATTGCTGTAATTTAAACAAGTGAGCATAAATATTGTTGGACACACCTGCTCTACTGCTGCCTTCTCAGGAGCTGGGTTTTTATTTCGGCACAAGTTTGACAGTGTCCATGTTACATTACGAAGAAATTGAATCTGCAACACAAAACACCACGAGAAAGAGTTTATGATGGGTAAATATTTATATACATTGCCAGGAATCCTGGATCTCACTGCCTATTGCAATGCCCTTCTTTTTGTGATGAAACTACAAGATTTGCAGCATGTCACTATCTGAGCCTTCAGCTACAGTATAACTCAGACTTCCACATGTCCATAGCATAAAACACAGGACTTTCAAGGAGTATTTTAAAGTTTTTTTTCATGTAAGACTAATTAGTATTATTGAGTACTAAGTACCCACAGAGGTCACTATTAGGGGGAAAAAAATTAAAAGTGGTCTTTTATATTTTAAAGGAGCTCAGTCAGGGTGTTTTGTCTTGTTTTTGGCCACGTACATAATCTCCTTTAAATGGAAGGAATAGTTTACCAAGACAGAAAAACATCAAAGAGATACCGGTAATAATACACCATAAAGGAACAAGGATCGTCAAGGATGGCGAACATTGACATGGATTGCAAACGACGAATTTGAAAAATTTAGGCTAAACTTTTCAAAATGTGCAAACCACGACTGAGCTCCTTTAAATAGTTTTAAAGCAGGAAAATTACAAGTCCTCTTCCTTCTCAAGATCTTCCAGGAAGAGGAGACAGCCTAGAACATTCAAGAAATTCCAGTGGGTGTATAATAAATAAACCCTGACTACAGTGACTGTGTAAGTCTAGTTTTCCTGTGTTAAAAAAATAACAAACAAATAAATATACAGTGTGTTACAATATTAAAACTGGGAGGATTTGGAATCTGCTCTGCCTCATGTTTCTTAGAAATTCTAAACATGACACTACAGGTGTTAGACTCAATCAATCAGGATATTATATTATTTATTATTATACACCTTTACTTAGTGAAAAATTAATAATTAAGTCAGTGGTTTCATAAATATTTTCAGCAGGAGGGGAACTGGTTTTCACAGGTGGACAAAACATTTTGAACTGAACTTGTTGGAAAAACTTTCCTCTAGATAGTCAAACCTGGCAGGCAAAAAAGCCAGTCGATTTGAGAGGTATCGAATGGTCCCATTCAA